TTGCATGGACATACCCCCCAAGGGTCATTTCCACATCCATGAGTTATGCCCTCTGTTCCTCATGGTTCAAGTGGTATGTTGAGTCAGCGCACCTGTCAAAGTTAAAACCATACCAGACAAAGCAAGGAAGAGTTTATTCGAGACTGTCGTAACAGAGGAGAGAGAGTGAACTCAGCACCACTGATACAAAGAGCTGAGGATTTTTTTCTTCAATTGAAGTAGAATCGATTCAGAATATTATATTAGTTTAGGCATATAATATGGTAACTTGACATTTTTCTAGACTATATTCCGTACAAAGTTATTATAAAATACAGTTACTATAAAATACTTGTGCTGTACATTACAGCCTCATAACTTACTTATTTTATACCTAGTAGTTTGTACCTCGTAATTGCCTTCTCCTATCTTGTTCCTTCCACTTTACCTCTCTCCTCTGGTAACCACTAGTTTGTTCTCTGTATCTGTAAGTCTGGTTTTGTTTTGTTATATTTGTTTATTTGTTTTATTTTTTAGATTCTATATATTAGTGAAAACACAGTATTTGTCTTTCTCTGACTTATTTCACGAAGCGTAATACCCTCCAGGTCCACCCATGTTGTTGCAAATGGCAAAATTTTGTTCTTTTCATGGCTGAATAATATTCCATTGTGTATATATACCACATCTTGCTTACCCATTCATCTGTTGATCGGCACTTAGGTTTTTTCCATATCTTGGCTTTTGTAAACCATGCTGCTATGGACATTCAGGTACATGTATCTTTTTGAATTAGTGTTTTCATTTTCTTGGATAAATACCCAAGAGTGGAACTGCTGGACTGTACAGTAGAGCTGGAGAGGTTTTAAGAGCTAGGGTGGGGGGACTCTTAGGCCACCTGTGTTTGGCATTCACAAATGAGTAGGGGAGGGTACAGCTCAAGTGGTAAAGCACATGCCTAGCATGTGCATGGTCCTGGGTTCAATCCCCAGTACCTCCTCTGAAAATAACCAAATAACCAAATAACCAAATCTAATTACCTTCCCTAGCCAAGAAAAAAACACACACATACAAATGGAGTAAAGTGTCCACCAGAGTCAGGTGCCTACCTCTCACAGAGACTGGGAAATAAAAGTGCTCTCTATCACCTTTGGAGTTTTCATTTCAAAAACATGATTTCTAGTCCTTGAGAAAGACACTTCCTGGGTTGAATGACTGGCAAGAGGTTAGAAAGTCTGTATATGTTTCAAAGGTGCAGGGTAAGAATTTACAAGTGCAAGTTTTCTAAATTAAATGTTCTTTAAAAAGGGAAGTCCGTGGCTTATATTCAGAAAGAAACCTGTCTAAAGTTCATCCAAACCGAGGGGAATATTAAGGCCATCTGGGTTGCCCTCTAAGGTGATCCACAAATGCACCACAGAATTTATGTCTGCTGCTTGAGAAGGGCCTTCACCCAGTGATACATGAAGTTGGAAATTTTTAGGTCCCTGTGTGAGTACCTTCTTACAAAGAGCCCACTGCAATGAGCTCACAAATGTCTCCTTTCAATGCCCTCACCCCACAGTATTTTCACTGATGAATGTTTACTGAAACATTTATACAGCATCGATTTGGTGCCAGGGACCATTTCAGGTATGAAAAAGGTGGAAACGTCTCCTCAGAGAGACCTCACAGGACTGAAGAAGAGAGGTGAGTACATGAACATTTCAGCTATAATCGAAGAGCTCCTCAGAAGTTAAACATGGAGTTACCACTGGATCCAACAATTCCGCACCTAGGTATCACCCGACAGAAATGAAGGCACATGCCCACCCGAAAACCTGTGCAAGAATTTTCACAGCAGTATCATTCATAGCCAAAAGGTAGAAACAACCCAAGTGTCCCTTAATTGGTGAGTGGATAAATAAAATACGGTGTATCTGTACAACAGGGTGTTTTTCAGCAATGAAAAGAACGAGGTACTGATGCATGCTACAACTGCATGGACCTTGGACACGGTCTTCAGAGTGAAAGAAGCCAGTCACAGAAGGCTACCAATCGTATGACTCCACTTAAGAGAAATGTCCAGAATAGGCAAGACCACAGGGACAGAAGCAGATTAGTGGTTGCCCAGGGGTTTGGGGAAAATGAGGAGTGACTGCTAATGCATATGGAGGTTCTTTTTTGGGGTGATAAGTGTTCTGAAAGTGATTGTCAGGATAGTTTAGTACATTCACAAAATTTTATCGTGGTGGAAGAACGAGAAGAGCACTGGACCTGACACCAGAAGACCTGGTCTGAATCTCTAAATCACCAGACTTGATTTGTCCAATTACATGTCCTTCGAACTTTCTCTTCTTTCTGTTTTCTCCACCTTTTTGAATTGGTCTCACCATCCATCCACCCAGTTATCTAAACAAGAAACTCAGGAGCCATCAGAATTGCACACCTATCAATGCTTCACTGCCCCCAGCTAGTGAGTCATCACATCTTATTGATTCTATTTCTTCAATCTTTTTAAATGCTCTGTTCTCTCCATTCCTGCTCCTCCCACCTTTGGCCGACATCTTCTGTCACCTGGACTACTCCAACAGCCTTCTCTAAGTCTTCTGTTGCTTTAGGCTAGTCCCTCTCAACCTCACATCGTGGGTGTGGTGTTCCTTTAAAAAAAACCCTCATGCCACTCCCCTGCTCTAAATCACGGAACGGTTAATTACTGCACCACGGTAGCAAACACATACGCAATGCTCTGTGAGTGCCAGGCACTGTCCTAAGAACCGAGGCTGCATTAACTCCAATCCTTACATCAGTCTACGTGACAGAGGAGGGAACTGGGCACAGAGAGGTAAAATGATATGCTGAAGGCCATGCAGTTGGGACTGAACAGGGGGATTGGCCCCAGGGCCTGTGCTTACAGCTGTCAGAGCCCACCTCCAGCCCCTGACCCACTCCTGTCCTCTGGTATCACTGCAGTGCCTGCAGGTCCTCTGGGCCTTCTGGCAATGCCTTCCATCTAACTGGGCTCTGGAAACCCTCGTCCTTAAAGACTCATCTCAGCCATCACTGCTTCTTTAAAGTCTTCCTGACCCCCCACCCACACTACGACCCCAATAGATGAGTATCTTGACGCTGTTTTCATTTTGTATAATATATACGCATTTTTGTGTTTTTTGAGACATCAGTCACATACCATGTGATTCATCCACTCAACGTGTACTATTCAGTGGGTTTCAGTATATTCACAAAATTATGGCTGTATTAGAATCATGCCTTTGCCTTGAGGTGGGGGACGTGATACTCTGGGGTATAACACCACGAGGAGGCCACTTCTGCAGCACAGCCAGCCGTGGTGAGCAGACCCAGAGGCGGGGGGAGCTGCAGGTGCAAGAGGGGGAAAGAGGGTGCAAAGTGTGGACGCCGTTGGGTCTGGAGGGAGAGAAAGTTCTGAAGGAACTGAGAGATTATACTTAAGAGACCAGCTATGGTCAGACCATTCCTTAGAGCAGACCAGTGTAACTGGTAGAAATCTCAGGTGACCAGCTTATGTAAGCTTATTTTTCCAGAACTGAGTTTACATCCCATTTCAAGCCTCCATCCTCCATTCGGCATTTCTGGATCTCCTGCCGTTTTCTTCCTGGCTGGGTCTGAGAGGACTTCCTGGGGTCTGAGCTTCTTCCCCAAACCTTTCTGCGGGGACAGTGGATGCAGTGTCCAACCTGGGGCGGAAGCTACTTCGGAGATGTCGGACAGGTTTACCAAAAGCTGGTTAGCCAGTGACTAGCACAGGTGCCTGGCTCAGAGTAGGGGTTTGATGAATATTCATGGTTGAAATGAATGGAACTAAAAAAGACAGCAAGAATTAAGGTATTTCACACAGCCACTTCCCCGCCTCACGAGTCCCCTCAAAGTTGCTCTGTTCTGCGGCCCTTCCCTCTTCTAGGTGACGGCTGGTTAATCCTGACAGCTGACTCCTTGGTGACATGCCCTCATGGGTGCTGCCCCTCCTGGTCGATCATGCAGGGCCCACCCCCACCTGGTTAAGGGGGGTCAACCGTGTCGAAGGGAAGCCCTCTGTGTGCTCCCGCCACCACAAGCTGGCGCAGGTGTACCCAGCACTTTCCTCCACTGGAAAACAGCCCATTTTTGTTTGCTCTGTCTTGGTTATTTTTCTGTTACTAACATTCTTTTCCTGCCAGTGGGCCAAGCACGTGCGGGGAGTAACTACACATGTCTAATGGAAGGGGCGCTTCATGTAGGTGGGTCTAGCGATGGTCACCGTTAGGATGATTCTGAACGATGCCTGCAGGCGACTCTTCTGGATGGTTAGAAATAAATGACAAAGTCAAGATGGAAGCTTCGAAGGGACTGGGCTCTGAGGACCCCATGGGGCTCTGATTCCTTCATTCCTATTTCTGGGAGCACGTTTCCTCCCCGACACGGGTGGGCCTTTGAGAGGTACGCCCAGCGGTGGGGCTCTTCACACACGGCTGCCTCTCTTCCTCAATGTCTTGAAAAGGCGCTGGGACCCCAGGCCAAGGGGTCTATCCTTTGCTTGACAGCGAGCAGCGGCTGGGGATGCGTCCAGGTGGGGAGTGCCACCAGGATGGCCCACAAGTCTGTGTGAGTGTCACTCTGATGGGGGTCTTCCAGCCTCTGCAGCCCCTCCCGACCTGACCTCTGAGCCAGAGTCCCCCATGACGCCCTCCTTCTCCCCCAGCATGCTTCAGCCCCCAGAGCCAGAGCCCCCACCTCCCCTGAAGCAGATGCCAGGAGCTTTCTGAAACTCGCCCTTCATATTTGGAATTCTGACTCTGAGGCCAGGCATTCCAACAGCAACTCCTTGGGTGCAGACCTTGGAAAGGCCACTTCAGGACTGTCCCAGCCGGGGCCCCGGTGACAGGCTCTGCTTCTGTGAGGTTCGCAAGGTGCCAAAAACATCTCCAGTGCTCCAGAAGAAGCAGCCAATGGAAGCCACAGCTGGGACCCCTCCCGCTCCCCTCGGTGGTATCCCGGCCTTCTCTCTCTCTCTCTCTCATCCTGCCTGAACAGGAGTGAGGACCGGCAGCCACAGGGTCTACAGAACCCTCTCTGCCCATCGTTCCCAGATGGAGCCTCAGCCTTTCCAAACATGGCCTGGAGACAGCTGGTCCTCACCTCCTGCCTCTCGGCTGCTGCGGTGCTCCTCTCCAGTGAGGATGGGGAGGCCCCAGGATGACCCCGGTGTCAGGTGTCAGGTGAGGCTGCACAGGTGGCCCTGGCAGAGCGGGCTGCGTGTGTGTGTAGGGGTGTGTATAACACAGCATAGCACAGAGGAAACAGCGTGCCTGGTGGTTTCTGAGGGAGATCGGCTCTGTGGCTGGTATTTGAGGCACCAAGGAAAGCCACAGAGCCTGGGGAGGGCCGTCCCAGCCCGGCTCGGGGTGCGGGCTCCTCCCGGGGTGCTGCCGCCCTCACGCTGCGCTCTCACCCCACAGTGCTGCAGGAGGGGACCGGTGTGTCGGTGGGCACCAGGCAGGTGGGAGGACAAGAGGCCCAGGAAGGTGAGTGCAGGGGCCACCCAGGGGTGCAGGGCGGAGGGGCTGGCTCCTGTGGCAGCCCAGCTGAGCCCCCACTGGTTGTGACTGGCCTCTCTCGGGTTTCAGGTGTGGAAGAGATTTTCATGTGGGAATCAGATGCCTCAAATTTCCTTAAGAAGCGTGGCAAGCGGTCCCCCAAATCCCGAGATGAGGTCAATGGTAAGGATGCTGGAGGCCTGCCTTCTGCTCTCGCCTCCTCTCCTGTCCCTTCTCTGTCCCACAGTCAGCTGGGCTGCGGGGACCGCCAGGGACCCAGGGCTCAACCTAGGCCCTTGGGTATCAAAGTGACTGCAGCTCTGAATTAGAAGTTACACGTTTCCTCAACTGGAGGTCAGTCTTTGGCTATGCTGTCGGCGTAAGGAACAGAGAGGGACAGCGCCACACAGAATGACTTCAGTGATGGACTGCATCTCAATTTCTGAAAGTTACAAGTGTCAGGGGGGAAATATGTGTTCTGGTCGAGAGGGGACACAATAACCGGGGTAATCCACGGTACTCCCTTCCAGGCAAGAGGGTGGCGCTGCCGGCAGGGAGAGGGCACACAGGACTGGGAGCAGGGAATGTGGGTTTGGTGACAGCTTTGCTGCTAAGTGGTCTTGACCACTTCCTCTCCTTGAGCCCAAGTTTCCTTATTTATAAGTCCTTGAAAGAGCGTGTTCAGCCAGCAGTGTTTGTAGAAGTTTTCACTTCCAATGCATTGGGGAGGCTTTTGAGTTTGGAAGCATGTCTCCTTCTTAGCCTGGAGCGGGCCCTGGTACCCCCTGCCTGGCAGGGACTCTCATTTTCATGACCTTCTGACCCTTGAAGGCATTTGAGCTTTCTGCCCTTGAACTAGATTCTTCCAAGGACCCTGGGCTCTGACTGTCTCTGAGTCCAAGTCCTGCTTCATCACTTGCGTGTGTGTCTGAATAAACTCTGTGTGCCTCTCGGCACACTCAGCAAGGTCACTTACTCAGTGAAAACAGCAAGACTGTTTTCAAATGATGGGCAAGAAGCAGTATGGAACTTGGGCAGCTCCTGATGGAAATGAGAGAAGCAACCTTCTGGCAGACTTCCAGGAGGAAAAGGCGTGAATTTAGGAGGCAAAGAGTTTCCATCCTCCAAGCAGATTCAGAACAGCGAGGGGTGTGATGAAGCCAGGGGTCTATCTGTCCCCCGGGACGGAAGCTCAGTGTGTCTGTCGTGGGGTCCCTGGTGAACACCTAGGATGCACCTGAGTTCATCTGCTGTCACCTGGGCAACTCTAGTGATGGGCAAGAGAATAATGCCCAGTTGTGTCTCAGGTCCACTAAAGGCAAATGACACTTTGATAAACTTGAATTTGGAACAAGAAAACAGGCATCTCCTGTCTCTAAGCTTCTGGGTAAACACGCAGGTTACTTTAGGGTGAAAAGAACTAATCCGAGGAAATGCATGTTCCTGAGTAGGGACGTAGCCTATGCAGAGGGTGCACAGTATAAAAATAGCACCTTGTCCCGAGATTTAAATTCTTATTCATTGCCGAGTCAGAGGTCCAATTTGTGACACCTCTAAAAAGGCAATTTGGGAAGATGGTTTCCTTTCCGGAGTACACAGAAATGGAGAATGCTTCTTTAGGAGTTGGTGGTGGCTTGTTAAGCACCCGCTTCCTAGACTCTTAAGCCTCTAAGCCCTCTGTCCTGCCCTGCCCGCTACTTGACCCTCTGCCGGCAGCCTTCTGGTACCTGGAGCCTTGAGCAACATCGCAGCTTACAGTGGGCTGTAAGGGGGATGTTCTGGGTCAGTCCCAGCTCTGCCCTGACCAGCTGTGTGACCTTGATTAGGTCACTACACCTCTCCGAGCCTGAATCCTGTCCGAAGAAATGTGAGGGTGTGGGGCAAGGGGCGTGGCACGGGGAAGGACTGGATGGCGTACCAATCCCTTCTGCCAGACGAAAGACCGCACAACTAACTACGTAGCTAACGGCGCAAGTGTGGGAAACACATGGGAGTTTCCTAAGGAATTCGCACTGAGACCAGTTCAGATGACGTGATTTTTAACCTGAGTTAAATTAAGTCATATAAAATAGTATCAGTAACCAGTATTTATATAATGTGATTATTACTGGAGGCTCCTACTTTCAAGGAGGATTGGAGATGGTTTATGGCGCCATCGTCTCACAAAGGCATGTTTCAGGTTGCTTCTCCCATCACCCTGTCACGTGGGTGGGACAGGAAACCAGCGTCCTGCCTCAGTTTCTCTGCTTCCATCATCAGCGCCCCCACCTTGCACCACGTAGCTGGTGGGGACAGCAGCACCTCAGTCTCCCTGCTTTGACGGTGGGGTTCCCACTGTGGGAGAGTGAGGCATTGAGGGGCCAGTCCTCCTGTACCACCCATGGCCTTCCTGCCTTTGTGGATTTTTCCAGCTAAAGCCCAGTTGAAAGAAATGTTTTATGACTAACAGAGCTTTAAATAAGCTCCCCCAGACAACCACAGTTCTCACACCAAAGAGATCAATGTAAAGACTTGAGGGCAGAAATGGATGAACCTAGAAACTGATTTATTTTACATCTAAAAATCTTAAATCTAGATTGTTGGGGGTGGCACTACATTAGAGCAGGTGAGGAACAGCTGTACTGGCTGGTGAGTGGGACGTGGTAGCTCAGGTGGCCACCCCCCACCCCAACCCCTCGGCAAACGTCACTGCTCAACAGCCAAGGAACGGTCACCATATTCATGTGCTCTCAGAGACAGTTTTGTGTTATCATTGGAGTATTTCTTCCAATGAGAGGTGCACCTCCAATTTTACAATATGGAACTGGGATTCCTCCTAAAAAGGTTTACAGCCAACTTACTGGAATGCATTGCCTCACAAAGTAAGGAATACCTGTGGTTGGTATTTTCATCATCAGGGAGTTTACCTCATCACCCCATATCCTGTACTAGAAATCTACTGCTGTGTAACAAATGAGCCCCAAGTTTAGCAGCTTGAAACAACTAACGTTTATTGTCTCACAGTTTCTGGGGTCTGAGTACGGCTTGGCTGGTAGCCTTGAGCTCAGGGTCTCTTGAGAGGCTACAGTCAAGCTGGTGGCTGGGGCTACATTCATTTCAAGGCCTGACAGCGAGATTTGCTTTCAAGCTCATGCATGTGGCTGTTGGCAAGCTCCAGGTCCTGGTGACTACTGGTCAAGGACACCAGTTCTTTGCCATGAATGGGCCTCCCCACTGGATGGCTTACATCATGGCAGCTGGCTTCCCTCAGAGCGAGAGCAAAAGTGAGAGGCAGACCAACCCAAGACAGAAGCCACAGTCTTGTTTGTAACCTTATCTTGTAAGTCATGTTCCACTTTTGCCATGTTCCGTCCTTGAGAAGCCAGTTAGCAGGCCAGCCCATGCCGCTGAGGGAAGGGACTCACCCAAGGGCGTGACTATCGGGATCATCTTAGATCCCCCATCACGTGCCATCACTGTGCCCGGTGGGGATTCTCATCATAGCGGCCCGAATGCTGGGTGCAACTTATCTTTTTATCTTTCTCCTTAAGTGGACCACAGACCTCGTGGGCAGAATCTTTTGTGCTTTTTTAATCACAGGGCTTAGCATGCATTTTGGCTGTGACAGGTGCTCAAGGCTGCTGAACGGACTTGCAGGTATTAGTGTGAAATTAACGTTAGGTGGCTTATTCCCTCACGGAATTCATTTTTGATCACCGGGTTTTCAATTTCCGAGAGGCCCAGCATACTTGGATAGATACACCACTCATCCTACGAGGGAAGCTAAACTGTGTCACCTTTTGGGGAGGGTCTCAATCCCTTCACCCACAAAACGAGGTGGCTGGATGAGATGACCCCCACGTCCCGCAGGTTTTAAAGTCTATGTCAGGAGTGAACCATCACTCTCACCCCCGCGCAAGCAGCCCCTTCCCCACTCATGCAAGGGCTTAGGCAGAATGACTGGTGTTCCCCTAAACGCGTGCAGCTGTCCCTGCTCTTGGGGGCAACCCTCGCCTCTTCCCCCCTTTCCCAGCGGAGAACAGGCAGCGGCTGTGGGCTGACGAGCTGCGGAGAGAGCATCACGAGGAACAGAGGAACGAGTCTGAGAACTTCGCAGAGGAGCAAAACGACGGTAAGAGCTCTTCCGCCAGCATCTTCGCTGGGAGCGGGGCTTTGTGGGAGAAGCACGCGATCCGCCTGCACTCCTCCCTAGATTTGTATTAGAGGAGGGAGGTAAGAGCCGCTCTGCTTTAAATTCCTTTCTATGGGAGTCTTGGGAAAAAGAGAAAAAGGCACAAAAATGGCTATAGAACTTGAGAAGCAAGGAGAGAACAGAACACCTACGGCACCACTGGATTGGGGCCGTAAGGCTGGGCGAGTTTTTGGCTGACAGTATGTTCTCCTCCCACTTGGGGTCACCATGGTGGACCGCGTTGTCTTAGCACCCACACTAGTGGCTTAGCTCCCGTGGAACTGGGTTGGGAGGATTTCAAACTCACTTTCAAGTGGCTTGGACTTACACCAATGTCACGGCTCTGGGAACACAGGCCTTTGCTTGCCTAGTCAACATCTGGGGACTGGTGGAAGCAAACCAGGACAGCTGAACTCAGAAAGCACTGGTCACAGGGCCTCCCGGACGCTCCCCACCGCCAGCATCAACATCTACGGCCCACCTGAAGGCCCCCCTCACCCACAGCATCGGGCCCCTGCAACGTGCTTCCTCACCGGCTGCTGCGAGCATCTTGTTTGCTAAGCCTCTGCCTTTGCAGAGGTGTCTCTCCCAATCCCACCCTCTCGCCTTGGGAGACAGGGCCCCACTGCAAGTGCTGATTTCACTGAGGCCTCTGGGTGTGGGCATGGGTGCGGGTAGAGGAAGGTTCTACTTAGGAACCACAGCCTCCCACGGGGGATGGGGTTTGACTGTGTACCGTAAGTGTCCTTACATGTTGCCCATAGCAAAAAACCCATAGAACATTTAGCAGGGACCAGACCAGGTAGGCCATTGTGTGTGTGTTATTACTTTTTTGGTCTTTCCTGAAAATTCAAGATTGAAATGCTCCTGACTAAGGTCCAGGAGGCACATGAGCTTGGACATAAGGCCCCAGTTAAGGTGACCTTTGTTAGAGAAAGCCCACAATCTCAGTTCTCAAGTAGTCAGCCCCCTCGCTCGCCTGCTCTGGTGGATTTGGGAGGCAACACGCTCGCAGGGTGCCTCTTAGTGAGAAGGACACGGCCACCAGGCACCAGGTGGAGGCAGGCGGTGCCCACTGCCTTGCAGGTGGCGCCTGGCTGCAACCTGCAGACAGATGTTGGGCAGGATCCTGGCAAGCTGAACATCCCAGAAAAAACTCAGACTGCTGTAACTCAGAGGCAAATACTTCTGCTGGAGATTTGTTTACCTTGGTGGACAGCTTGGGGAGAAGCATTTAAAAAATGAGAATGTGGTTTCTAAAATTCCTTCAGTGGTTTTTCCCCCCAAATTCATGGTATTAATAACAGCATTTTATTTTGTGCAGTTTAAAATGTTTCAGGTCCAAATCCCTAGCATATGGGTGGAAAGCATTCAGTTTTCTCTTACATGATGAATTAGGATGAAGGGTTAGGCACGTAAGGGATGACCGATCCTCCGCCAATACCAGCGGAGATGAAGGCCGGGGGCCTCGGGCCTTGCCCACAAAGAGGAAGATGTTGCAGGGCAGGGCGTAGGCCTCTGGCGGCTGCAGTGACAGCAGCCGTCGTCATTGCCTGGCTGTCGAGCGCTGGCTCTGCCGGGTGCTGCCCCAAACCTTGTCATCCATGTGACCAGCCTCTCAGGTCTCACAATGTCCATTTTACAGTTTCAGAACTCGGGCTTAAAAAGGATATGTGAATACTCACAGAGACAAAGCTAGTAAGGGATTTAAACGAAGGCGTGTTTGCCAGCGAAGCCCGGGTTCCTGCAGATGAAGGATGACCGGACTGCAGTGGTCTTGAGGGGCTTCTTCCATCGGAGGCCGGGCCCACGAGGATGCAGGGAGGCGGGGCGTGCAGAGGCGCAGAGGGGTCTCCCCAGAGCCTGACAGAGGAAGGAGGCATCGAGGTGCAGCAGGCCCAGCCTCTGCCTTAGGGTAAATGCTGCCCAAGGCGAAACTCCTCTTGCCTCTGCCCCAGGACAGGCCACTGCACGGTGACTAGGTTGCTGGAAACCTCCACCGTGGGCAGTGCTCAGAGCCCTTCTCTGGGGCCCCCACACCCTCTCGGTCAGGACCCTGGGTTCGGTTGACCTGACGATGTCACAATTTTCGGAATACCTGATGGCACTTGGATGCCCGCCCTCTCCCCGAGGTACTTGCTTCATAAGAGCGAATGCTGACAGATTACTATAGGTGACTGGAAGGACTCGAGTTCCAGTGGAGGAATATCTGGTGGTCTGGAGAGAGATTTCTGGACAAGAGTGACCTTCCTGAGGGCCTGAATACCCCATCTTTATCAAAGGCCCCTCTGCCAACCCACCCAGGACACTGGCCCTCATCTGGGGAAGAAGTGGCAGGGTTAGAGAGTCACTCGGCCCAGTCCTGGCTCCTGGTTGTAACTCTCCTTAAAACCGCCAGTGTCACAAGGCAAAAATAACATTGAGCTCTGCTCTGAAAGCTCTGGGATAAGCAGTGTGCTGAGCTTCCACTTGTAAGGCCTACATGGTGGCCCAGGTCTGCTTCCACCTTCAAAGCCAGAAGCCTGGGTCAGACCAGCTGAGGTTGGCCACATGACGTCTTGTCACAAGTGCTCCCTACACGAAGGCCAAAGGGTCCAGGCCTTGGGTCTTTACCAGGGAAATCTCCCCTTTGACTAAATGAAATGGTCTAAGAAGAGTCTGGCTTGACCTGAAGATAAAAAAATCAACTTCTTTGTCAAAAATTGTTTTCTCAAGACTGGCGAAGAGCAGCTGCTCTATGTGGCCCGAGAAAGGTCCGAAGGCTCACACCCAGAGCCCCAGCCTGGCTTGGCTGGGCTCCTGGCTGGCCCTGAGACACCGCGTCCCTGAGAGGACTCTCAGAGCCCGGGGCAGCACTGACCCCAGGCTCACACAGAAGGAAGCGTTCCCAGCAGACACGGTGCCTCCACACCCAGCAGTTACAAGGCCCCTTTCTGCTGAGGTCACCTGGCTCTCACAGTGGTAAGGACCACAGGCTTTTGGGGTGAAGCTCACACTTGAGAAAACAGAGGCAAGGAAGTCATTTTGGGTTTTGAATCTTTGCAATTCTTCTATTAACTTTCCATCCTCCTAACATTTTCCCCAAATACTTTAAAAAAAATTGTGGTAAAATAATACAGAATATAAAATTTGCCATCTTACTTATTTTTAAGTGTACGATTCAGTGGCATTTAGTACATTCACAACCATCACTTACTATTTATTTGCAGAACCCTTTTAACACCTCAGACACACTTGGCACCCATTACGCATTAACACCCTGCTCCCCTAGCCTCTGGTAACCTCTAACGTGGTCTCTGTCCCTGCAAATTTGACTCTCCTACGTGCAGTCACACACTATTTGTCTCTGTATGTCTGGTTTATTTCAGTTAGCATGTTTCTAGGTTCATTCATGTTGTAGCATGTATCAGAGAACACCACTCCTTTTTATGGCTGAATAATACATATATACACACATACGTTCATGTCTGTCTGTCTGTCTGTCTGTCTACCTATCGATCTCACAATTTGTTTATCTATTCATCTGTTCCTGTTTTCAGAACTGCTGAGTTATCTTAATTCTGTTTCACTTTTTGAGGGGCTTCATGGGTGCTTTTTAAACACTGACAGCCTTGTGACAGCTGCTAGTGCTTTAATGGTCCCTAACACTGAGCGACAGGCGGCCTTGAAGTGGCACCGGGAGCCCAGTTCTACAGCCAAACAGAGGTGTTATTCAGAAAATTATCTCATCAGAGGCAGAAAACCCGGGGCTTTCTTGCTCACGAAGAACTCCCCTCTGTTCCTTTCAGCCCTTTACTGTGAACCATTTCAAACACACGGAGAAGCACACGGTACAACGACCCCCCGTACAACCACCACCCAGAATCGGCGGGTACCAAGACTTTCCCCCACGTGCTCCATTCACCCCTTTGCCCAGTTAGTTTTAAAAACATAACTATTTTTAAAGCTTAGAAAATACAGAACAGTAAGAAAGAAAACCTCACTTGTAATCCCATTACTCAAAGTTGACAATTATCTCCTTCCGTGATTTTTTCAGCAGCGTGGCCTGCAGTCTGTTTTTGCTGCTACTGTGATTTCTGTGATGTGTTTCTTAGCTGTCAAGTCTCCGGGCCAGTTTCTGCACACTGCTCCCTGCGCCCCTCTGCTGGTTGTGCAGGGAAGAACACTGAACGTAATGCAGGACCTGGTCTTGTCTCTCTTGGCAACCAGCTCTGTGACGCTCACCTGTCCAGGCCTGATCATAAAACGAGGCCTTTGGATTCAGCGTCCTCTGGACCCTCCTGGCTGGGGCATTCTGTCTGCCGTCCATGCTCACAGGGACAACTGGTTCCTGTCACCTCGGGGCAGGCACTTTGGGTCCACAGCTGCCAAGAGAGCTCGGTGGCTCTCTCCAGATCAGAGTCCCCCATCCTCACACGATGACTTCATCTCTCATCCCCAGAACAGGAAGAGAGAAGCCGGGAGGCCATCAAGCAGTGGCGCCAGTGGCATTATGACGGCCTGTACCCCTCCTATCTCTACAACTGCCACCACATCTGACCTCAGCCTGACAGACCCAGAAGACGAAGCCTGAGATGCCCCACCCACCCCCGGTGTTCGGGTACTTCTCTCCTACACAAACAGGCCCCTTCCCAGGGCCTCAGCTTGGGGCCTGCAGTGGGACACACACATACCTTCCGTTCTGATGGATTAAAACGCCCTGGCTTCTGCTTCTTGGCAGATGATTTTCTGGGTGAGCAAAGGCTTGTGAGGCCTCCTAATGTCAATCCTACATGGTTTCCCTTTGCTTTGCCACTGTTCCCAAGGTGAGACTCCTGTCCCATAGAACGATCAGTCTGCTTATAGTTCATAAATTAAAATGCTCAGTCAACACTCTGTATTGTCTCCTCGAATCTCATCCATCCTTTGGCAGATTTCTTTTTAACCACTTATCTGGAGCCCCTAAGGACTAGGGAGTAGTAATGAGAGAACAGAGAAGACTCAGGTAAAAGAATGTCCCAAACGCCACCCTTTTGACAAGGCCAGTCTCTGAAAATACAGATCCTCCATCACGAATTCCTGTGACACTCCGCTGCCCAGATTCCACGTCCTGTTTCCTTTGGCATCCTTCTCCCTGCGCAGGAACTAGCTGCGATTAGCTCTGAGTGGTGGAATTTGAAAACCCTAAGGTATAATGGGGCCCTTGTTAAGGATGGGGGTAGAACAAGGTAGTAGAATTCTTCTTTCTGCCAGAGTTCTTTATCGAGAGCCAACATGCAAAGCCTGGCCGTTGAGGAGACAAGGACAAGCTGTTTCATTTTGTTCTTTTGAACTGGCCACTCACCCAGACCACTCTTGGTATTTGACATCAGTGCAGCCCCAGCGTTCCCTCATGTGCATGCAGCAGGTTTGTAGAGACAGATGGCTGGAGTCAGGCTCCATCGGTGGCCATCGCCTGATTGCTGGTCCTCCTGCCAGAAGGCGTTGGGTGTGTGACCATCACCATACAAGCCACTCTGCGGCTCCTCTTGTTTTCTGGCTGAAGGGAGAGAGCAGTGCTTTCCTTTTCTCTGTTGTACAGCTGGGTGTGTGAAAACACACGCACAACCCTCGGAAACTGTGGCTACTGACCTAAAGGGTGAGGGGCTGGATCTGCTGGCTTGGCATCTGGCTCCCGGCCTACGGAGAGGGCGTCTTATGTGGGTGGAGCATAGGCCCACTGGGATTGCTGTCCCAGCAGCCCGCAGCCCTGACTTGGGGCCTGAGCAGTGCCCACTACACCCCTCCTCTCGCGCTTCCTCCGTGCCTGTTAGCAAGAACTGCTGATCTGCGTGGGGAGTCGGGGGCCAGGAGGAGCCCCACCCCCGAGAGCACAGACCCAGGAGCGGGGGGGTCTGTCAGGCCCGTTTGCTAAGGCTCCCTGTTCTGCACTCCTGGGGGTGCGGTAGGAGGCAGGTGGTACCCGTGCGTGAGGCGCACCTCTGACCTTCGTTCCACTCCAGGTGATCGACTTCTCCAGTCTAGACCAGAGACCGGGGAGAAAGAGGACCAACAGCAGAACTCTGTTTCATCCTGTTGAGCTTCATGCTCCGAAACTTTGAACTGCTCATTCCTCCCCAGTAATTTCAGTCTCTTCGGGTAATAAGTAAAACTGTCATGAGATGTCGGCACCTCTGCAAAGTCTTAATTTTATGTCAGTTTCTTCCACTGCTGTCACCTTGTAGTTTGCAGCTCCTGGCACTTGGAGTGAGGGCTGTAGCGAGCAGCGCACTTCCTAAAGAGCCTGCCTGTCAAAAACAGGCCCAGAGGCAGCAGGGTGTGGCTGGTGGTATTGAATATGTGACTTGTGTTGGTGGAGTGTGTACTGATAACCTCGCTTCCTCCTGGAAGCATTTTTATTTGACTCAGTTTACACACCCGCTGACAGCTAAGATACATGTTTGCAGCGTAACGTTGGGAGCAGATGTCTCAAGTGAGCCCCCGAAGAGCGTAGTCAGAACGTTCCAAGCCTCAGCTGCCGATCTTCCCACTCAAGTTTAACACGAGTGCGCCAGGCCGCAAAGAAATTGTGCGCAGCTTTGACTTTTGTCGTGTTGGGACTTGAATTGTGTCCCAAGCATGAGTCTCCATGTTCTTAATCCCAGGACTCCTGGGAAGAGGGTGGCTTCTCTCTTCCACCTGTCCAAGTCACAGTGTCTCATGGTGGAGTTTGCCCAGTGCCCTTCCTACCTTCCCAAGGCCAGTTCAGCTCCTGTGGCTTGAAATGTGCATAAAGTGCTTGATAACTAGAACATTTTTTAAAGATTTTATCACTGTCTTTGCACTCATGGCAAAGTGTCCAGATCTAATGAATTGCTCCACCTCTGGTGAAGAGTTTTACCACAGTTGAGAAGTTTTTCCTCAAAAAAAAAAAAAAAATTGCCCTATACTGCCCTGGAAACCCTACCTCCAAAGCAGGCTGGACTAGTCAGTCAGGGACCCACGTCAAGGGGGAAGGCAGGGGGCCTGGGGTGGGGGCAGGGAGGTGGCCGGGAGAAGGTGCTTTTCCCTTTATCTTCGAGGGCACTCTGACCCCAGAGCGGTGCCTGCTTAGGCTGTTCTTGAGTTTTCTGCATCTTTAGCGCGGACTTCCTGAAAGCAGCTGAGAGCGAGGCCTGGAGGTGGGATAATGCTGAGCCTGGACAAGAAGGCTGGGCAGCTGGGGCAGAAGGGCCCTGCTGGGGCTGAGCTGTTTCCCCCAGAGACATGTGCTGACCTCTAGCCCCTGTGACCTGCGAATGCTGACCTCATTTGGAAGTAGGGTCTTTGTGGGTGTAGTAATCAGCTGGGAGGCTAGTAGGGGGAACCCTTAGCTCAATGTGACGGGTGCCCTTATGAGAAGAGAAGAGACACCAACACGCAGAGGGAAGGGGGTGTGAAGACGCGGGGAGAGGAGGCTGGGGCAGGGGAGGCAGAGATAGGGGTGGTGCTGCCACAAGCCACGGAGCACCTGGGCCACCAGGAGCCGGGAGAGGCCAGGGAGGACCCTCCTCTGGAGCCTTTGAGGGGTGTGGCCCTGCTAGCACCTGATTTCAGACTTCTAGACCCTAGAACTGTGAGAGAACAAGTGTTCACTGTTTTAAGCCACCCAGTTTGTGGCACTTTGGTTTTCTGTTTTTTAACAGAGGGACTGGGATTGAACCCAGGACCTCACGTGCTCCACTCCTGCCCACTGCGGCACTCTGTTACGGCAGCCCTAGCAAAGTAGTCCCATGAAGACAAAGGAGATGATACCAAAACTAAACTTGATCTGCTGTCTAGTTTGGGTGACAGCTGGCCTGGCTGTGACCCTGGCTTCTGATGGCTGCTATTACGAAACCACCATTGAACCTTAAGACACTTTTCAGAGATGTGATAAGCACCTGGGCTCAGAAAACGGTTTTTGTGTTTGGCAGGGCCCTTTCAGTCATGTGACTGCGGAGACAGGCTGAGGAAGGAGTGAGCAGCCCTCCTGAGCCCAAGCTTCCAAACGCCCACGTCAGTGAGAGTCACACTGTCACTTGGGAGGGACAGGTTGATGCCACTCAGTTTGAATTGGTGATTTGCTTGTACCTTTAACTCAAAGTACATGAATGACACACAGTCGGACACCACTTCTGTTATGGTGTGGCTAATAATGATGTAATCAAGTCAGCATCGCAGCCTGAAAATGGACTCAGCCCAGGACCCGAATCCACTTCCTCCTCTCGTGGTCAAGCCCAGCAACGCTCCATTGATAACATCACTCCCGGGAACGGAAGAGACAGAGACCACGCCACTGTTTACAGATCTCGCCCGACCTTACTCAAAATACTTCCTGGATACATTTAATGGTGAAGTTAAATGCTTTCCTCCTCAGATTGGGAACAAGAAAAAAAAGTCATGCAGAACAGGAAATGAAATGTTAAAACTTCTCAGGTGGTTAAGAGCCCATATGTAGAAAATCCCAAGGAATCTATAAAAAAGCTGCTATACTAGCACGTAAGTTTACATTGGCCCCAGGATACAAGGCCAAGAGACAAATACGCACTGTATTTCTAAATACTAGCAAGTATATAGGATAATTATTGGAAATTAAGTTAAAAAACCCATTTATGACACCATCAAAACTATTTAGAAATAGATAAAATATGCATATAACCTGTACGCTGAAACTACTAAATGTTGTTGAGAAAAATTAATGAAGACTTAAATGTATGGATAAATGTATTATATTCATAGAGAGAAAACCTTAATATTATCAATTAAACCCAATCCCAATAAAAATTTCAGCAGAGTTTTTGGGGTAGAAATTGATAAGCTGATTCTAAAATTTACATTCAAATGCAAAGGACCTAGAATTACCAAAACAGATTTTAAAAGAAGAACAAAGTTGGAGGACTAATATTATCTGATTCCAAGTCTTACAGCTATAGTAATTAACACAGCATGGTATTGGCATAAGGACTGACACACAGATTAACAGAACTAAGTCCAGAAATAGACCCCAAAATGTATGGTCAACTGATTTTTGACGAAAGAGTGAAAATAATCCAATGAGGAAAATGTAATCTTTTCACTGAACGGTGCCATAGCAACTGAACATCCATTTGGAAAACAATGACCCTCAACCCTTACCTCACAGCTTCTAGAGAAATCAATCTGAAATTCACCACAGACCTAACTGTAAAAGCTAAAACTATATTTAAAAATTCTATAAGAAAACCTTCTGATCTTAAGGCAGATAAAGATTTCGCTAGAACACAAAACATGAACCATAAAAGAAAGTGACAAAATGGACTTCATCAGGATGAAAAAAAAGCTCTGAAAGACACTGTTAAAAAAAAATGAAAAAGCAAGCCACTAACTGGGAGAAAATATCACACATATATCTGCAAAACACTTGTATCCAGAGCACAGAAAGAATTCTTACAACTCAACTCAATAAATAAGTAAATAGATATGTCACCAAAAAAAGGTATACAAATGGCCAACTGCACCGGAAGAGATGTTATGGGGGAAATGTAAAATTAAAATCACAATGAGTTACCACCATACACCTATCAGAATGGACAAAACTAAAAAGACCGACAATATCAACTGCTGGTGAGGATACAGAGCAAATGCAACTCTTATGCATTATTAGTGGGTGTGTAAAATGGTACTACTTTGGAAAATAGTTTAGCAGTTTCTTATGAGGTTAAATACACACTTACCAGAAATTCCACTCTTAGATACTTACCTAACAGAAACGAAAACATATTCACAGGAAAACTATACCTGAATAATGCTAACGGCTTTATTCATAACAACCCCAAACTGGAAACAACCCAAATGTCCATCCACAAGTGAATCCATAAATTGTGACATACCCATACAGTGAAATGTGCAACAATAAAAATAAACTGCAGACAAAGGCAACAGTATGGATGTTTGTCAAAATATGCTTAGTGTGGAGGGTGGTATAGCTACTGAGTGCATGCTTAGCATGCACAAGGACCTAGGTTCAAGCCCCAGTACCTCCACTAAAAATACACACACACACACACGCGCGCGCTGAGTGAAAGATGTTCAAGTGTACATTCTGCGTGATTCTGAAACCGTGAAAGACAAACCTAAACT